GACATGCACCATAGGGCAGAACTGGGGAGACACTGAACTCCCCTAAGTCACTATGGTACACAGACCATGTGGATACCCTGCAGAGACAGCATACTTTTAGTGGCTTGAGGTTTCCCAGGCATGGCAAGTAATGCAGAGGCTTTTAAGATCTTCATTCTGAAGTAATTCTGACTGGCTGCAAGCTATAGAGAGCTGCTGGGCAGGACCATCCAGCCATGCCCCTCAATTCCAGCCCCCTCAAAACAGCGCTGCTTGGGGGTGATGTTTACACATCAGTAACAGCTGCGGCAACAACAGTAAAACAAATGAATGTGGAACAAGGACGTAATTGCAAAACAGGCAGAAGAAAATTAAAAACTTCAAGAAAAGCTATAGAATGGTCCCCAAAAGTCAGGTTATACAGACACCATTAAATCAAACTGCCTTGAATCCTAGATTTTTATATAGTAATCCAACTATTATGGTAGTGTGAGCTGGGAAAAAAACAAGAAGCTACTATATCCTGCAATTACAGGAAGTCACCCTTCCACCCCTTGATTATTTTGCTTTGCTGCTTTGGAAGGTACATGACATCTTTTCTTGGTGATGATTAGCATATACAGAACCATCTAAAGTTAATATGAAGTGGAAAACAGAAAGCAGATAAGGAGTTAAGGAGATTAAAAGACTGAAGAATGCACTTTGATAGCTGGTTTTGACAGACCATGCTAAGAGGTGTCACCAGTTGCTGAAAATCAGATCTAACAGAAATTCCAGAACCACTTCAAAGCCAGATGCAGTAGTCCTGTTTTCAGACAAGAATGTTAGCTGCTTCATAGACAAAACCTTCCATGCCATACATTTACTAGAGATATGAAGCATGAGTTACCCTTACGGTTAACCCAATTGTAAATAAGATTCAGCTGTGAAAATTTTCAAATATACCTTGCCAAAGCAAGAGATAGCATGTTAGCCAGGCATAGTGGAGCACACCTGTAATCCCAGCAGTAGGAAGATTGCTGTGAGATTGAGACCAACCTGGGCTAAATGGTGAGTTCAAGGCCTGTCTGAACTTCATAGTGAAGCCCTGTCTCACAAAAACAAAACCCCAAGATAGTATGTTAAAGTAAAGGTGCGCTTCATGAACTGAAAGAAGGTCCATCTATCAGAACTTACATTACAGAGTTCATCAGTCTAAGCACTCAGGTATATGTCCATCATTAGCCAAACAGAGCAACACTTTTTCAGGCCAGATGGGCTGATATGACTGAGCATATTCATATGCTGAAGGAAGGCAGGAGTATGGCATGTACCTTAAGGAGAGTGATACATGGAGATTATCAATTATTATTAATCTGGTGCCACCAAATGTTTTTGTTATATAAAATCAGTTAAAGAACTAACCCTTCATGATTTAAATCCCTGTTCACCTACCCTTCTCTTATTGTCATATATACTTGAAAAAAATATAGTAGTTAGTAATGACATTTCTTTTTGTGAATTAATAAATTGGTAATAATATTAATACTTCCATATCCATGACCTGTTTTAATGTTAGTAAGATCCTAAGGATGGATCCATTTTTCAAAATTTATTAGATTGAAAGCCAGAACTGTATAGCAGTGATTCCCCCAAGGGCTGTATTAGTTTTATAGAGTATTTTTTATCCCTTTAGAGATCAGCAGTTTATCTTCCCCATAACAATATAGAGCATTGAAACTATTGTTTAATTCTAGCCTTTTCAATGGATATAGTTATATCGTATATAGACCACTGAATTGTATACCAAGTTCTTTGATAAATGGTATCAGCCAACACCAAATCACACACAAAACGATCGTTATGGTTTGTGTCTAGATGGCCCCACAAAGCCTCATGTGGTCACAGGTGGACCTTTTTTCAGAGATGGCTTAATCTACAGTGTGTCATGGATTCATGGTACAATGCTAGGTTAAGGATGGGTGATTACTAAGTCCGTCTATTGATTGGCTTGGCACTGCCCTAATCTTGGTAGTGTGGATACAATATAAGGGGCAGAAAAAAGCTTGTCTTTTTTCTTGCTTGCTTTGCTACCTTCTACCCACATGAATTATTCCTGCTCTGTGATGCCCCTCTGCATGCTACCTTGGTTCGGAGCTAGATGATTGTAGCTTGAAACCTCAACAGTGAGTCAAATAAACCTTTTTGCCTTTAACTTTGGGGATTGGGCATTTTGTCTGAGCAAGGAGAAAATTAATCAGCCCAGGACTCATCTTGGTTTTCTCCTCTTCTCTTGTTCCTCTGCCATCCAATATCTTTTCCTCGTTGAAACTATTTCTTAATTCAAACCTTATCAAGTTTCCGTCAGCTGGAGAATAACTATTCTTCTATCACATGATCTTCTGTAGCACTGACCACACAACTTTTTTTTTAAAGACCAAACTAGTTACTTCCTGTTTAACATTCATTGGAGCCTGATTTTACCTGTTCAATAGATTCTGGTCCCTTTTTTAGGTATAAATGTTACCCATAGTCATCTGGCCTGAGAACACATCTTAGATTCTTGTCTCCTTATTGTTTCTCAGTCTTCCCTGGCTGCCCTGTTTCCAAAGCACAGCCCCCTGCCATCAGTTAGCATTAGGATTAGCCCTGTGGTTAGTCCAGGGTGAGGTCATCAAATATCAGATCAGGTTGACTCAATTACATTGCACATACATTTTCCTGTTAAGGTGCACATGCAAAACAAAAAAAAAAAAAAAAAAAACCTACAAGTTTTTCCTTCTCCAAACCAAAAAACAATACCACATGTATTATTTTATTGCTCAATATCTTAGAACCGCATTTACAGTTCTTAAGCCAAGGGACACATCATCAGAACATTTTTTGTTCAAGAAGTGAGAATTTCAAGTTGACTCTAAGGCTGAGGCTGATCAGACTTCCTCTCCTCCAGAAGAGACTATTTTATAGAATTTTAAGTTGATAAGTACAAGGGGAATACAGGGAGAGTCAGCGAAAAGAAAGTGTTATTGAGTACAAAGTTTAAACAGCTTTATTTTCTGAAAGGAAATGTGTTTTTATAAATGGGTATTTGTCAATGCTGTGCTCTGGCTTTATTTTCACAGTACTTTCTTTCTTTCTTTTTTTCTTTCTTTCTTTCTTTCTTTCTTTCTTTCTCTTTCCTTCTTTCTTCCTGTTGTATTCCATTCTATTGGAACCCTAGTTAATATGACGCATGAAACCAGGGCCATTCCTTATCTCAGCTTTCCAGTCTTACATGGCAGATTTTAGTACACATTTGTTGAATATCTATTCTCCAGCTGCGAGGCTTAGGACCTGCTTTGGTTTGGATCTAGAATGGCCCCGAAAGGTCTCACACTCAGCAATGAGTTGGGGCCAGTGGGACTGGACCTGAAGGGTGCACTTTGGTTCCCCGTGGCCTCTTATCTCTCAGCTTTACTGCTGCCCCGGGTTGGGCATGACCCCTCCACCATGCCACTCACCTGCTCCAGCTGTGCACCCAGTCCTTTAAAAACCAGGGGCCAAAATGAACCCCTCCTCTGAGTTTCAGATGTCCAATATTTTCTCCTAGGCACAGGAAAGCCACCTAGTTCTGTGCATTGCCTTTAATTGCAGTAAAAACATTTCTTTCTGAGAAAATTAAGCAAGTAAGTGAGATAAAGGAATTATGAATGGGAAGTCAAGCAACTTTGGATGCTTCCATGTCAGCTGTCATGAGTTGTGAAGAGAAATCAGAGTTTGGGTTCTTGTCCAATTTCCTAGAAGAACAATTCTACTTTTTCTTTCATCTACATAGTTATAGCATTTTATTTGAAACATAAATATATTCAAAGTTACATAATTATCATTTAAAATTATAGAAATTGATGATTTTAGTATTTACTCTCACCTCTAGAATGCTCCGGTTCAATAGTCACTGCCATTTGAAAAGAGAATTGGGAGTATTATTTTCATTGACATTGACTAGGCTTTATTTATCTGCCATGTCTGCAAATTTGCTTCTGGCTCTGTTCTGTTCTATTTTTACTGAACTCATTGAAATTCAGTACTTCCTATGCTATCTTTGTCATCCCTAGAAATTACAGATATTTTTATCCAACCTTTTCACTTGTGCAAAAATATCTCCAATTAGGATTTATGATCATCACTATGTTGAAATTATAGTATTATTAGAACCATTTAGATCTTCATATTTAGTCTCTCACTAACAAAACATAGGTGTTACTTTACCATGAGCTTTTGATATCCAGACTTCAATATGATCAATTGTCTTTGTAATATTTTTAAAAATTTGCCTTGATAATATTCTGTTGGGAGCTCCCTGAGGAAAGTGCATAGATGACATTGCCTTAGTGAATGACTCTTATTTTGTGTGTGGTAAGCAGGTATGGCACCTTAGGTACCTCCTCTACCTCTGAGTGACAGGACCCAGCCTACCGGTCTAGTCTTCTCTGAGCCTTGCATTCAGTCTCTGTGGGTTACTACATTCCATATCTGCATTAACTCATTTTGACTTGGCTTATGTGGAAAAGCACAGTAGTAGAGGATATGAAACAAATTTAGAGTTTCAGTATCTTTAAAAGGAAAAATGATTAATTTCATTCATTATAATTCTTTTGCTAAATTATAACTAGGTCATTGGGTATAATCTAATTATTTGTAGACTCCTATGATATTTGTACACTTTGGAGATATTATTTGTGGACTTCTAACTGAAGAGGGGGAAAATAACTTTATGAATGTTCTGAGTGTGTGTTATTTCTCTTGGTTTGTGGACTTTCTTGGAAAAATAATATCCAAAATTAGCACACTCAGGAAAAATAATTAAATTTGAATATGATTAGGAAAGTTCGTGGCGCAGGAAAGGTTGGTGAGGAAAGAGTGACGTCATTGACGCTGTCTTGAATTGGTAATGACCGTAGGGATAGAAAGCAGGACCTGGCACCTTACGCTGGACGCTTCCTGCTGGGAAGGTGGCTAGACCAGCATCTGCCTGCTTCGGGGACGGCCCCAGGGTTTCTGGCATGATTGTGTTTATTTTCCTGGGTAAGTGAACTGTCTTTCTGGTGTACCTGAATTTATCACATGCTGACTCTTTGTAAACTGATTATGGTCCCATCTAATATGAGCTTATAATAAGAAATAATAACAAATTTATACTTTCAAAGAATCTAATATTCTTCAAAATGTATTACTTTACTCATTTATTTCTAACTTCATAGGAAATGTACAAGGTAAGAATTACTTCAGCTACTCAAATTGTGTTTCATTGTAGAAATAGTTCATAATTCTGAGTTATTATTGGGATTTATAAAATCATACATGTGCTAAAATTTTTTGGAAATGAAACCTCCCATATTTACACATTAAAAGATAACAAATTTCATATTAGCATCTATGTTGTTTGGAAGTTAAATAAAACAGAGATCAATTTAAACCATTCAATTTACTTCATTTTCAACTTCTCACTTACTGACTAGGAGTCATTTAGTAAAGTAAAATAATACCATATCAAATGCTTTATATTTTGGTCAACTTTTATGGAAATACCAGTTTATTTCTCTGATATTAGATATTATGAATGTAATATAACAAAATGGAGAAAAAGAATTCATTTGCATTTAACATAGAATATGTGAGCATCTGCTCTATGTGTAATTAGAGAAATATTTATGTATATACTATATTTATGTATTCAACAACATTTTGAGAGTCTATGAACTGAATTCAGGATAAAAGAAAGCAGTGATTATAAAACTGGATATTAATAGATATATCTGAGGGTTCTTTGCCTTAAGCTAATAGATAATAATAAAAAAAGGCATGCCTGACAGCAAGACAATAGGGTAGATTATTTAAAATCATGTTAAATTAAGAAGGAAAATAAATGAAGTAGAAAAAATTAGTTTAGAAGGAAAATAATCCTTTCATTTTTTTTCTTTGGATTGAATAACAGTTCCACAATGTTCCAAAATTTTGCTTCTTGTACTAATTTACAAAATATTTCCTTAATTCTTCCATTGATTTCTAGTATTTCCTCATTCTTATTTTTACAATACAGAGAAATTTAAAAGATCTTAAGTTCTGTGCATCAGGCAGTAGTATAACAAAACATACAATAATTACAGCCACCTACGACTTCTATTGGGAAGTCAAAGGCCTTCGTTTCCATTGTGACCTCTAAGTCAATCTTAAAGCCAGGCTGAATGAAGGAGAGAATTCACTTTTAACTTCATTAGGACCAAAATATTTCTCACACTGTATTCTTCACAGTTCTTGTTAATATCACATAAACAGTCCTGTGATAAGGGCAGTTTCTCTCGTCAAAGAAATCGAGGAAGCAGGGAGTGATTTTTCTAAACTTAGAGCACTTAATATACTAATTAATTGTGTCCATCTTTGGTGGGATGACCTACTGGGCAGCATTCTTCATCTTATTAATATTAAAATATAACTTTTTTCGGTGAGCATTTCAGAAGAATTTCTGGAAAATCTTGAGCTAAAAAGTTTTTCTAGGACTTTCAAAAAGAGAAAACAGTTTTTCTGTTTATGAGTGGAATATTAGAAAATATTGATTGTTTTACATTCTTGAGAATTCCTAGCCTAAATTTTAGTTCAAAGCAAGAGAGAATCAAGTTGTCCATAGAAAAGGAAGAATAAGAAAGACATGATAACAGAGCTTAAAATACAGTTTAATAGATTTTATTTTAATCTATCAAAGAATGAATTTTTGCACAGAAAATGCAAAAAGGACAATAGGAAAGGCATCATAACCGAACCTAAATTAAAATATGTTTTAATAAAGATTAAGAGACTCTTAAGAAAAGCTCACTGTGGCAAGAATACAACAAGTGGATAAACATCAAGAGCTCTAGAAGAGATTGTTGTCTGATTAATCATTGTTCACTGCTAAGCACGATCTCCAATCCCACCTGGTAAAGGACAAAAAGTTTGGCTCGCAGTTAACTGGCTGCCAAGCAGAAGCACCTCGATGTACGCGTGGTAGAGCAGAGCTACTTAGCCCATGGTGGCCAGGGACAGAACAGCCAGCAGTGCCTGAGAGGAAGGGACGAGGGCCCACACAGCACATGAGGTCACACCTCCACGTGGACACACCTAGACGTGTGCTTAACTAATCCCCTGGGCTGCTCCCAAGCTAATCAAGTTGACAATTTGCTTTATCACATCCCATCACTTGCCAACTTGACAGCCAAATACATCTCCTTAGATCATAATTAATCACCAAATGAACCCAATACGAAGTTAATAATATCAGCCAATATGATACAGTAATCTTGCATACAACCTAAAGGCAGTAATCCCTTCTCCAAAGTCTCAACAGTCTCAGCAGTTTTCAAAGATCAGAGTGAAAGACTTCTGAGATTCCAGGCAAACTCTTAACACCTTTAAATGAAATCAAGTTATATGAGTGTGATCAGTAATGGCACTGATAAACTATGCCATTCCAGAACAAAAGAAGAAAGGGATAAAAAATAATCAGACCAAAGAAGACCAAAAGTCAACAGGCAAACATTAAGTCTTACCAGATATGTCTAGTGCTTGGGGCACACAATCAGTTCCACAGGAGACCTTTTCTAAGGAAGCTTCCCAGGGATCTGTTCTCAAATGAAAGTTTGATACTTTTGTACTCTTTGGCCTTTTATGGGTAGGTTCTTGCTGTTTTCTGAGTTTCCCTCATATCTTTCCTCTTGTCTCGGTAAAAAGAACTTGTTCTCTTTTTCAGTAGTCTAATCTTTTCAGCAATCACAATTCAATTTTACAAGGTTGCTCTTAAGCCAATATTTAAGTTTTTAAAAATTTTCTACTCTAATTTTTTCTTATTACCCCTATAATTTGGATTTAAAAAGTCAGCTATACCCATGGCACAGCCTGAATGTTGGGCTGCTTTGAAATTTCCTCCAGCAAATCAGTTATTCGCTGTTCTTAATCTCAGCTTCCTGACATGCCTTGGCACATGGGCAAAAATGTAGACCATCTTTTTTTATTTTTTTTTTACCAGAATATAACTCAGTTGACCACTAATCTATCTCTCCAAAGAATCCTGACTCCTAAGTGAAAACTCATCAACCTGGTATTTATCACCCAAATTCTTATTGATGCAGAGTCTTTTGAGCAGAAGTGACTTGACGGGCCCTGCTGCAACCTTCTAGTCTTTCTCCAGCCCATATCTCTACATTCCTCCAGAACCATTCCCAAAGGGTTCTAGGCAGTATGACTAGGTCCAATCCCAACAAGAATCTTGCTTCTTTGGACCCGATTTTCTATATTAGTAATTTTTCCATTCCCTGGGATATAATATCTGATACCCACAATTTAAAGGAGGAGAAATTTAATGTGATTTGTATTTTCAGGGGAGTTAGTCCATGTGGCTTGCAACCAAGTCAAGAACATCATAGCAAAAGGATATGGAGTAAGAAAATTGCTTAGGAAGGATCCAAGGACCAGTCATAGTATCTGAAGTCAAGCCTTGATGGCCACCTCTGACATACACAGAAATATGCTTATCTGTCCTGTAGGAGACTCCTAAGTAAATCAAGTTGACAGAATCAAGATTAATTACCACTATTACCAATGAAAGAGATAGTATCAAAATCAAGTAAGTCCATAAGATGACTACTGGCAAAAAGAAAGCCTTGAAAGTATGAAACAGGACACTAAGGAAGTGACTAGATATAACTGAAGAATAGTACTCATAAATAATAAATTAAGGAGTGAATGAAAGAGAAAAAATGCAGCTTATGTAAGAATGTTGCATAAGAAAAATACAGATTAAAAGCTAAAGGAAAGATTAAGACTCACTTCTTTTACAAACATTATTTCCTATAATTCAGCTTTTATTAGTTGTAGCTGAGGTTTGGAGAAAATGGACACCAAGTTGTCACACTGAAATTTGTCTTCTTGTTATTCTTTTGCTGTTCAAGCTATGGGACTCAGCTCAGAAAATAAATCTGCTTTTCCAAACAACGACTGTGCATATCTAAGGCAGCAATGCCTCCGTGATGGAACTCCATGTAAACATGCTTGGAGAATAGCGAAAGATGCCTGCAACATTTCAGGTACAGTTATCTGCTAAAGTGATAGGAGCTGACTTCTTTTTACAAAGATAAACATAAAATTTCATAATGACTAACACAATTCGAAAACAAAAGCTAGTTTTTCTATAAATATCTTATTTAATCAGCGTTTAGTTGATTCACCTTCAATCACTGATTAGGGTATTTAATTACAAAAGAGTATTACTTGCTTTTACTGGAACCTGATATATTGAGACTGAGGGCAACTTCGTACAACATTTCAGGTAATTTTCTTGCATATCTCATGTGGATAATATTACAATTATACTAGTGCTTCTCAGAATAAGAGAAAAATATTTTCCAAGTAAAATATCATTTTGCTTATACACAAATTTTTCAATAAATAGCAAGAATACTAGTGATTATATTATGCATATATATTTGAATAATATATTTTATATTTTTGCAACATATACACTATTTTCCATTCCAAGTTTACTGAGAACAAATTAAAGAGTATTTTTACTTTTACTTTATCATGTATTCCAAACATTTGAAGAAGGATTCATGAGAGTGTGAAGACTGAAAGATGACTAGTATTTATTTAAAAATTACATATGAATATTCAAGTAACTGAATAAATACTGAATAAGAGGGTGATAGACTATTAATTAAAGATAGATACAGTAAAGTAATTATGTAGCAGGCCATTGTTCTAACATTGTTACAACAAAATTATTCAAAACAGTGCTGTAACATGAAAAATCATCCAGTATTATATGAATATTATAACTATCAAAATCTGGTGAACTTTATGGAACTATAAGGGAAATTTAGAAAGAAAAATAAAAATGTTTCTCCTATGGTTTACTCTGTTTTTCCATCTTTTTTATGCTCATGATTCTCTCCTATGCATTCTTGATTCCTTTACCTTTCATTGCCTTGGGTTAAAAATCAGAAATTTGTGGTTCTAGCAATGCCAGGGTGCAGTGTCCCGCAGAAGGCTTTCTGCCCAACGGCCTGACTTTGTGAGACCGGAGATGCTGAAAAAGGAGGAAGTTTCTCCTTTTCTCTGCCTCTGGTACAGGACATGGAATATTTTCACTCGAAGGAAAATCATAGCTATGTAGCCCAATAATATTGTACTGTAGGAAAAATAATTTCAAAGCTATGCTTTCCTAAAAGTAACACAATAGTTTTAAGATAAGGACAAAAAAATGACCAAAAAAATCTGTTACGTGATTTGATGATGAGACTCCTTGCTGTATTTTATGAATCATTTTAAAGTTTGCATTGTGAAGTTTTGTTTATATATTTTCTTATATGACCAGAGAGTCATTTGCAGTAAACTTCAGTAATATTTTCATGATAATTTCATGCATGGATATGAAATAGAAATATCTTCAAATGCACAAATGAAATGAACTCAAGTAGTTTGTCGAGAATAATGAATGAAATAAAACTAGAAAAGTATGATTTTTGAAATTAAAATGGAAAAAGAAATATTGATAGTTACAACAACTTTTTCATTTCTTTAATAAAATGTGTTGAGTGCTTTCTAAGTGCCAGGATCACTTTGTTTTTCATAATCAATCTAGTGTCACCTACACATTTTTCAACATAATCTTTGAATGACACACAAAATAAAAAAATAAAATTGCTCAACTGACAAAATATCTAGAGAAATAAGTCACCTTGCACAAGGGCATCTCAAGCATAGTGACAGCAAAACTTGCCATCCTCTTTAGGGACAAAGATATTTTACAATGCTGAATGGTTCTCATGAAAAAGTACATTAAAAAGTCACTTACGTGAACAATTTTCAGCAACCCTGAATGATATTATCACACATATGGATACTGACACATTAAAAGCATTTCAGGGAAAAAACACTAAAATCATACTCAAATTAGCATGTGAAGTGCTTGCTGTATCTTTATGCAATCCTGGTGACTCCTGTGCGGTAACTGATTTATCACTCTGTAATTTGACCATCCAGTCCTTGGTGGAATGCAGTTTCCAGTTTAAACAGTGTGTCTGCACTGACGACCTTTATTGTACTCTGAACAAATTTTTTGGAATAAAATGCATCAGTAAGTCAGGTAATACCTGTTGTCTTATTCTTCTTACAAAGCTAAATCCTGCGAGATTGTGATATCTTATTCTGTTCTTCTGTTACTGGGTTTAAATGTGTAGCATTTTGTTGATATACCTTTGTCCATGCAGGATGTTGACTTGTTCTCTTTTCTTATAATTTCTCTGTCTGGTTTAGTTGTCTGACTAATGGTAGCCTTTTAAAATGAATTGGGAAGTATTTCCTTTCCTTATATTGTGTGGAATAGTACACAAAGAATTGTGTAATCTTTTCTTTCTATTATTGGCTTGATTAACCACTGAATATAACTTAGTACTCTTCATTAAAATTTTAAATATAAATTCAATAAGCTGAACTGATATAGTAGTGTTCTAGTTATCTAATTCTCTTGGGTGAGCTTTGGTTGTGTCTTTCATTTACATTGGAAGTTTTAGCTTCCGTGTAACCATTTCTTTAGAATTGCTGTGTTTCTAATAAGTTGCTGTTAATACCATTTAGTTGCTCTTTAAAACATCTCTAGAGGTTATTGTGAGGTTTTTTTCTTTCATTCAGATATCGACAGTTTACATCTTCTCTCTTTTTCTCTAATTTGTTCTTTATTTTTTTTTTCTTTACACAAATACTTGGTTTATTACTACTTGAAGTCTAACATTTCAGTACATTGTCAAGTCTCACTAGTATCCATCAATAAAAGTACAGAAAATAACTTTATAAACCTATATTATGAATCTCTTTTAATATTGACATATGAAGCTAATTATTATTTTACTGCTTTTACTTTATTTTTTATTTAAAGGAAAAAACAAAACAGAAAAAGGGTAGAAATAAAACAGAATTTCAAAATAACACTAAGAAATCACTAGTTGATAAATTACATATTATTATCTTAAAGGTAGTTGTTCAAACTACAAAATCAAAGCATAAAAAATGGACAGGCAATCAAAGAATGACAGTGCAAACCATTCTGTTCAATGATCCAACAAAAACTTAGTGATTATCTGTCTCCATAAGATGGGCTAATTAGCATAATCGCTGCACGGGCTGAACCACAGGGACATGTGACAGGCTAGGTGAGGAGAGATGGAAACTCAACTACTAAATAGAAACTTAACATTAGATGGTTGTTGTCTTATTAACATAAGATGATGGCCAATTTCGGGGTTTCCCACAGGATCCCTTTTACTTTAAAATATAAGAGGCTGCATCCTTGAGGAGACTGTGCCTGTCTTGGGTCAGGACTCTTTCACACGGGGCCAATTCTGCCTTATCCGTCATTGGAGGCAGGGCAGCAACAGGCCCAGCTCCTGTCTTAGGAGACAGTTGGTTAGCACATGTGAGGTCCAGTTGCCCATCTCTAGCTATGCAGTATATCGCACCAAGGTAAGAGAAATGGGGCAGACAGCATGCTTTCACAAGGCATTAATCATCAAATGATTTAGCAGGCTCTGTGTAATTTTCTCTCTCAGCCATTTCAAGCCTGTGGTAATGGACCTGTATAGGTTGCATTTTTATGGCATCCACCTGTTGTTTGTCAAAAACCATCAATTTATTTAAAAGGAAAGGGCCTAATGAAAGTAAAATTAACAGTCCAAGTAATGGTCCGAGCAAGGGAAGAAGATAAGGCAGGATTCCATTCCAGGAGCTCCAGAGAGAGCTTTCAAATAGCTCTCTTCTTCTTTTTACCATGTCTTCTTTTAGTCTCTTAATTTTGTCTCAAACAATGCCGGACTTGTTCACATAGAAGCAGCAGTGTTCCTGTAATGCCAAACAGATCCCTCCCTGCTCTGCCATTAGGAGGTCTAACCCCTACCTCAGCTAATCAATCTATTTGATCTTGACTGTCCTGAAGAGTACTAGACAATGCCTGATCATCAGTAAGCTGACTGTAAAGTTTGTTGCACTGCGACTCCTAGTCCCACAGTCCCTGTCGCCAGGGCTGCCAAAATCCCTAGTCTTACCAGCAGGGGAATAAACTGCACTTCTCTCTTAGTATGACCTGTAATGTAATCAAGACTGGAAATGGGAACAGGCTCATCTCCAGATATAACATCTATGTTAGGTAGTAGGGTAGCCATGACACACAACCCTGTCCAATTGGCAGCTGATGTGAAAGCCAAGTTTCTCCCACAGACAAATATTTGTCCTGTAGTCGGACAAAGAGGGGTGGTCCAGTTAATTATAGAACTGCAATTAGTGAAGGTGACAAACCCAACATCAATGTCAGAGGTATCGTTATGAAAACTTCCCTGTAGGCAGAGGAAATCTCTGAAACCTACAGGCTGCACTCTAAAGGGGAGGCTGGCACTACAATTAAGATTTGCAAAGTTATGTGGGGTGAAATCTGAGGGAATAGTGAGGGGCATGGATGTGCCTAGGGTCATGCACAGCCAGCAGCCTTTAACCAAATCAGGGTTAGAAACTTTAAGGGCTATATAAGTGGCTTCTAAGATATCTAAGTTCTGGGTATCTAGATCTATACCTCTCTACTTGGGGAGAGCCAGGGGATGATAATTTATCTTGGGGAACATTTGTTCTATAATTCGCTCTATGTGTTTTTGTACTTGAAGTTCTCTAACCTTGTCTTGGGGTCTGCCACCATCTGAAATGTGTATCAGGGTTACCTTGCTCCAGAACACTGGGCTACCAATTGTGCCACTGCATGAGGCCTGGGCATATTTTGAATTTCCTAGGACTTATGGGATGCTGGACCCCTTGCCTCCAAAACTTCCAGCATTAGGTCTTTGAAATATGGCAGTGAAATAAGTCTGATTATCTTTTCCCATGCATTCCTGCACTGAGTCATAGCAGGAAGAATGCGTCTCTGTTTTGTAAGAACATTTTTCGGGGCATAACCCTGGTTGGCTGTTGGGTATCACATGAAACTTGACATAGCGCCTCCAGCTTTGGCTCATTCCGCCTGTGACAGTTGGGCAGGTGGGAAGGTATGCTATCTTGTCCCCACAATCTGTCTGTTGAGAGTATGTGTATACTTTAGTATTGCCTATTTGTGTACCATAAGATTGGCCTGTGCCTCCTGTGACATGCAAGGCAAGGCCTTTGTTATATTTATCACAGGTAAAACCTCCTCTGCAATCACAGGGGTTACCATACAAGTGCCTTTGTAGTTGTTCTTTGCTTATAGGAGGTCCAAGGCCACCATGTGAGGTCAGCAGTAGAGCCATCAAAATTCTCAGTGGAAAGGATCCAGATTTTCAGTTCCATCATCTAAAAAACAAGGGATGGGAAAAAATCTCTCAGGGGGCATTATCATCCCTGGAGTCATCCAGAACATTATCCTCTATTTGTTGCACTTGATGTTTTGTTTAACCAATCATTCTGGTAGCCATCTTGCAGATTTCATCTCTTTAGAGTATATGCATACTGATTGTTGTCCCCAGATAAGACTGGGTCTGACCATGCCATGAGTTAGTCAGGGCGTCTCTACAAGTATAGAAGCAAATTGCTTTTGTGTTTCAGTATGCCAAAAATGGGTGGCTGCTGATTGTCTGGTGGCATCCAAATTTAAAAAATTAAGGATGAATAGGCATGAGATAGAATATTTTTAGGTGACCCCCTTGTGGGGTACCATTCCCTCTTTTTTATTTTATCAACCGTGAGTTTTAGGGAGAGATGTGCCCTTTCAACTATGCCTTGACCTTGAAGGTTATAAGGTATGCCTTTTATATGATGAATATTAAGATGGTGACAGAAATGGGTGAAAGCAGAACTAGCATATCCTGGGTCATTATCAGTTTTTAATTGCAGTGGGCATCCCAAAACAGATAAGGTAGTTAACATATGGCTAATAACATGTTTGGTGGCTTTACCAGTCTGGGAAGAGGTATAAATGAAACCACTAAAGGTATCTATAGTAACATGAACATATTTAAGGTTGCCAAACACAAGAATGTGGGTGACATCCATTTGCCATAACGCATTGGGGATTAGTCCTTTGGGATTAACTCCAAAGTGTGGAACTGGGAGGTGTGTGGCACATTAGGAGCAATTGTTTACTGTCTGTCTGGCTTGTTCTCTAGTGATCTCATGCATAAACCGGAGGGTCTGGGCATTGAGATGGTGTAATTGATGACTCTTTTGTGCTGAAGTAACATTATCATCGTGATCACTGGAGCTAGCGTTAGTTAAAGTACAAAGAAGAGCTTGTGCTTGTGGTCGAGTGGCCAGGTCTGCCGCATGATTACCATCAGCCAGAGGTCTTGGTAACCCAGAGTGAGCATGTAGATGTCTGATAAAAAAAAAGTCAAGTTCTTTTTATAATAAGCATCTGTACTTGCCTAAACAAGATCTCCAGTGTTGGAGGCACTTTTGATTTGACCAGCTGTTTCTAGCAGGGGCACAGAGTGTGCAATATAAGCACTGTCAGTATATAAATATATGGGCTTATTGGGAAATCCAGAAAGGGCTACAGTGGCAGCATGCAACTCTGTGATCTGGGCTACTGCACTGTTTGTTTGGAAGGGTACAGTTTGGTTTTGAAAAACATAAGCTGCTAAGCCAGTTGAGGAGCCATCAGTAAATACTAATAAAACATTTTTTAAGGTTTGAATAACATGACCATAGAGAAGACAAACGAATGCTTATTGGCAAATTCAATAAGCTTGTCCGGGGGATAATGGTTATCTATAAGCCCTGTGTAGGAGGCAAGGGCAATGGGCTAGAATTCAGTTGTTTGCATGAGCCAATTAATCTGTTCTTTGGTAAAAGGCAGTATGATCATATCTGACTCCTTACCAAAATAACATTTTCCTTGTTCTCTTCACAAGAGAATGAGGGTAGACATAGCCTGATAATAGGATTCAATGACCTTTTTAGGTGTTGCTGGCAAATGAACCCACATTAACGATTCTGTCTGCCAGGAAACAGCAGTTAGAGAGAGAGTAGTCTTGCATATGATAAATTTCAAGGGTCTACCATAATCTATAAAGGCAATGGTCTGGGACTGAATGGCCTGCTCAACAGTATGTATTGTTTGCTTTCCTTCTGGAG